ATGGTGAAACATTTAAGTCAAGTGGAGGCCTGTTAGAAAGTGGTAGCACATCTACTGAACCACGAAACCGAAAACAAGTGTATAATGCTCGATCTAACACAAGAACAGATAGTGGTGAAAAGGATGAGATATTTCAGTTACTAACACAGCTGAAGGATGACTATGCTGGAGAAGGAGGGTTTGTTCAAGAAGTCAAATTTGGGAAGACGCCAGAAGTTGTTGTTAGCTTTGAACAACAACTGGATGACCTGGTGCGGTTCTGTTGTAATCCCAAGCAGTTTTCTGTTCTGGGTATTGATCCAACATTCAGTTTGGGCAAGTTTTTCGTTACAGTGACCACTTACAAACATTTAATGTTAAGGAAAAAGTCCACCAATACACACCCTGTTTTCATCGGACCTTGCTTTATCCATATGCAACAGGAAACGCAGACATATTACTCATTTCTGTCTTGTTTGCGTGGAAAGAAGGATGCTTTACGTGACCTGAAAGCCTATGGATCAGATGGAGAAGTGTCTCTGTTAAATGCACTAATTGCAGCATTTCCAGATGCCATTGGTTTGAGATGCTTTATTCATATGAAAGATAACATTGAAAACCACCTGCAAAACAAACTGCATGTTAAAGCAGAAGTGAAATCTGTAATAATTCATGACATATTTGGCCATGTTGTTGGTGACACAAAGGTAGGAATTATTTGTAGCTTTATATTACTTTATGGAAGTCACACACTCACTATTTACCCCCAGCCTCTTTTAGTGCCCGCCATCCAATTACCACTGGAAAACAATAAGCCCCCTGGGAGCTAAATGGGGGAAGTATATTATATTGGAGGAAGTACTTTATATTTACTGCCATGATCATGATGTCTTGACACACTGCAATTTGTCGGGATAATTTCAGATGCATATATATTAATGCTATTAGAAAAATACGTGGCAAAAAACGTCATCAGACCAATCAAAATCCGCCACTAACATTCATTCACCGACACCTCCAGTAAAACTGTAAAAAAATCGTAGCATGTAAATGTACTGTACCTTAGCGCTCATTTTTTTGGAGCATTACTGTTTACTGGAGCGTTCATTTTTCAAATACATATATAATACCAGGCCTGCAAATTAGTGCCGGTCATCGGACATTGTCCGACCAAATTTTACCTTTTGTCCGATCAAAGTTTTTTTATGATTGGACATGTAACCGACCGATTTAGGCTCGTCAAATGTCTGATCTCAAAAAATCGATTTCGAACACAATTTCATGAAAACAAAGCAATATAAAGGACACTCTTCCGTTATTTCTTGGCTGCATTAAGCCGTAAGATACACACACACACACACACACACACACACACACACACATAATAGCCTGTAATAGTGTACACCAAAATTGTAGGTGTAAGGCCCATTTACACTACGCACAATTTATTACTGTACATACATGTAGGGCTCATCCAAATTTACTGATACTGTGACCATGTTGTCAGTGTATTAACTGACGGCATATACAGTTACGTGTATACCGAAATATATAATTTATTTCGACTGTCAACGATTTCCAAGCGTCAATTTATTGATACAGCATGTCCAGGGAAACAAAGCAGCTGGATGATATTTAATACATCGTTTCATACTGTACCTGATCTTCACCTCTGTAACATGCATATAGCACTTTATACACATTTATTTATTTTATGACTCTTGCGTTACCGGTTTGAGGGAAGATTTTTTACTTGGATTAAAACTACATTTAGAGATTTTGGCACGCAATGAATTTGGCACGCACTAAAATACGAACTGATTTTGTGGAGCTCTTTTGATAGATATTGGGATTAGTGGATTCTGTTGACTGCAACCGGTTTGACAATTGGAGGAGAAGTGGAATCGTATTGCTCCCGGTTTCCATGTTTGGTTTCTGCGCCAAAAAGCGGAAGTCTTCAAGAAGAGCATGATTGCGCCCATACGCGAAGCTGCGCAATTGGGATCACCTCCAAAGAATTACACTGACAACGCAAATGAAAGCGCGAACTTTGTTCTCAAAGACTGGGTGGATTTTTCCAAGAACGATATACCAACCTTCATCGCTGAGCTAAGGTCCTTTACCCAGCAAAACCTTGCTGAAGCTGAACGGGCTGTTTATGGTGCTGGAGAATTCTGCCTGGCCGAGGATTTCAAACATTTAGAGGCATGCAAAAATAGAAATATGCTTAATATTTTGGTTCAGTTCGTGGAAACACCGCATATATTTATGTTCACATTAAAATATTGTAATAGACGATTGCCATTATAGACTAATTTTTTATCTTGTAAAAAAAAGATATATTCCCGGAAAGAGCATAGGCTACTACAGTAAAATGAGTAAAATTGCAAACTTTGGTTGCGAAATGTTGTAAAATGCGGAAAATATAGCCTTGCAAAGTTTTGTATACTTTTGTATTGCGTGCGAGAATGTCTACCACATTTGGGCTAAAAGTGGTAGCAATTCCCGCACGCAATACAAAAGTATACAAAATTTGCAAGGCTATATAATAAAGTTATGTGGTGTTTCCACGACCACAGACCAATTAAGAGAGTTAGGTAATATCCTTGTCCTCAAAAGTCCTTTATAAAAAGGTTGACGTCAGCAGGCTTGTGACGTAATTTGCGGAGAAAATCCCTAAAGCTCAGAGTTGTTTACTTGTTTTGAGTTTTTTAAAAGTCAAAACAAGCCTGTATTATGGTAAGTTTGAAGCAATTTAACTAATATTATTTATTTGATTTTATATCAGATTGTACATTATTTTCAGTACTGTCATGAACATTTAGCAAATTGTTCACTCGGTTTGTTAACATATATTTCGTTGCTAAAAAGTATAATTTTTCTTTTTTGTTTCTCAAATTCATCAGTCTAATAATCAGAATGGCCCCAATCAAGCTGTAGACAGCAATATACACAGGCTCACTGGTCATGCAAAGAGGTACATAAGTGAACTTAGACTCTGAGTACAGTACATCTTGTACACAATGACTCGTATTAAGACTGATAAGTCTATTATTTTTATCGATATGTAGTTGACAGAAAAGGACATACCCGGGTCAAATATTGGCAAGGATATTGAAAATGCTACCAAAAATAACTTAAAATTTCGGCTGAAGTGTAGAGATTTAAAGTTTAAATTTTCAGAAACGAAAGCGGAGCTGTTTACACTGATAAATTTGAGAAACAGAAAAGAAAACCGAGCGAACAATTTGCTAAATGTTCATGACAGTAAAATAATGTACAATCTAATATAAAAACAAATAAAATTTATACGACGAATATGAAAACTCATTTGACCTATATATATAGAAACATTTGCTTCAAACTTACCATAATACTGGCTTCTTTTGGCTTTAAAAAAACTCAAAACAAGTAAACAACTCTGGATTTTCTCCGCAAACGACGTCGCAAGCCTGCTGACGTCAACCTTTTTATAAAGGTCTATTGTTCCATTCTGTATAGGTCGACCCGGCAGAATGGCATGGATGGGAGAAAGATCAGAGAGAAGCACACCTGAAAAAGTTCAGAAAAGCAACGATTCAAAGTGCTCGTATCCAAGCAGAAGTGGTCCCACATGATACAGCAAGCGTACCAAGCGCATCCCATGATCAACAGAATTTGCCTTGTCCTTTGGCAGTTGGTTTCCGAGATGCGGGAATTCCAGGTATTCCAGAGGCAACACTCTGTGGTATATGGTCCAAGGCAGAAGCAATTATTTCCAAGTCATCTGCTATTGTCAACGCACCAGGAAACCTTGATTCGAAGTTGGTTGAAAGTAAGTCTGGCAAAAGGCCTCATTTTGTAACAAAAGAGAAGTCTGGAAGATTTACATGTGATGATGGGTGCAAGATGTGGATGTCTACCCGCATATGTGCACACACTGTAGCAGTAGCACACACCATGAATCTCCTCTTATCTTTTGTTGATTGGCGCAAGAAATCTAAAGGGACATCCGTTCGTTTGACAGGCATGATATTGAGTGACACACCCAAAGGTGCTGGAAAAAAGGGCGGAAAGCCAAAGAAGAAGTACGGTCAATCTACCGAGCGAAACATTGCTGTCCAAAACTACGCCAGTCCTTTTGATGATCGACCTGTTCCTTCGACATCAAGTCCCTTCGAGAATTCTCGATTCTTTCTCAAGTGGGTGAGCAGACGAATTTCAGTGTGCCAGGGGAAATGTCAGAGGCCAATGAGGAATGAAGAGGGACGTATATATCCACCCCCTTATGATATATGCTTGGCAAGAAAAGAACGGCGCTCATACAATAGCCCCGCAGATGGTACTACGAAGCTGGGAAAGGAAGGCGATTGTCACTACCACCTAAAAAAAATCCTGCGTTGGTAAGGCTGATCCGCCGTACCAAGGTGAGAATATTTTCATTCCACCCCAAGTCAGGGTTGCGCCTTACCCAAATTCATAAGGATGTTTTACGAAAGGAATTTGGCCTTAATATTTAGGACCATTCGCGTTGGTACTGTGCTTTTTACCATAGTTTTGTGTTTGCTGGTTGAGATTCATAGCTCTTGCTAAATAGTGTTTATGTTAATTGTAATAAAATTGTAATAATAACGCTACCTTTTAAACAAGAGTACTTGCCATGTCCAAAAAACTTGGTAAAGTCGACTAAACACACGAGCAATAAACTCGTCTATAAACTGCTGAATATTTTAATATTAATATTTTGTTGTTCAAGTAAATAGTTTGTTGGAGATTAGAACTTTCTACCATTTGTAACAAAACTGACATACTGTAGCATAGGAAGCCCATTAGTTGTAATAGGCACAAAGAAGACTAAAATAGTTCATAATGGCTAATGCGCGTGCGTTGAGACGCAATAAAGCAGGGTCTGTGAACTATGTTGCTCCGTAGTGACGTCATTCTCGTACCCAGAGTCCTTACGCGCGGCCAACGGAGCGCGACGAGGGGTTCTGTGGAAAAATCCAAACCGGATACCAACTCAACTCTAATTGAACATGCTCAGTATTTAACCAGATACCATGTTTTTTTGGTATCCGGTTTGGATTTTGCCACAGAACCCCTCGTCGCGCTCCGTTGACCGCGCGTAAGAAGGACTCTGGGTACGAGAATGTAGTGACGAATATTAAGTATTTATTATTGGGAAGGACGGGAAACTCTTTTGCCCATATCCGCATACATGCTCATCTCACAGCAACAATCTAATGTCAAAACAACATGAAACTTTGATACTCGAACAAGAGAAGATTTTCCATCTTTCCCAGTAATAAGGATTAATACGTCACTACGTCACTGCTAGTCTACATTCTGCTACGTCACTACGCCACTGCTAGTCTACATACAAGGTTAAGCATCGCATGGTTTAGATAAACACCTATGGCTACAAAAACAGTTGCTAGAATATTTTCACGGTAACACAATGACATTTTATCGGATTTTTAAGTATTTTAGTCTTTGTGCCTATTACAATTAACTATTGGGCCTCTTGTGGATTTATAATGGTTTACTAATAAAACATATCATACATGAAAATATTCTTCAAATTGAGTAAACTTGTCATAGTTTTGACGCTTATTTTACTTTTACCTACTGAGACTATTATGAGCTGATGGCGTTATAACTTTTAAGGATTTAATTTCATCTCGTCTAACTTAGTTCTAGTTTGACTTAAATGCATATGTGGTTTATTCCTTTTACTAAAAATGACACAAAACGTGTTGTTTCGCTGTTTCGTTCGGTTGTTCCGCTGTTTCGTTTCGCCGTTTCGCTGTTTCGCTGTTTCGTTTCGCCGTTTCGCTGTTTCGTTTCGCCGTTTCGTGGTTTAGTAGTGTCCCATTTAGTGTGTAAATGAAGTCTACTTACAGACAAGTTGCATACTATTTACATAGTATGGAAGGAAGTTAATTTTTTGAGTGGATTTTACGAAATAAATCTAAACAAATTCGGCAAAATGAACTCCTTTGCAATATACTCATGCATGAAAGCTCGGTCTTAGTTGTATACAGAGAATCTTCATATTCCGAGCCACAAAAATTATGGAACGACTTAGACAGCAATCTTAAGAACATTAGCAGTTTTAAAACTTTTTTAAAATTTCTTAAAAGAACTATTTGAAACTAAGCATGCTTCCAATTCAGATATGTTATCCTAGCCATTGCATTTTAATATTCTTATTCATGTAATTAATTAGGGGGGTATAAAGTTATTCTTGCTTTTAGCAATTTTTCTGAATTAGTCTGAAAAGCAAGATTTAATAATAATAGTAATAATTCATCTGTCGGCAATCACCTAAAAGGATCGAACGACAAACTGTCGGGTTGGATATAAAACGTCGACGTCTTGTTGAGTTTCACGATATGCAATCAATGAGTCATCACTTTGCAATCGAACGACTGTATAGGAGCGAGCGATTTTGTTTCGAAGATGAAATGGCGAATTTTTAATTTTAACAACTTTTTGCATCCATGCATCAAAACATTCTATCCACGCGGGGAAAATAACAGGAGAGCTCTGAACTACTTGTACATGCAACTTCATGGCGTTACATGTATTAATGAAGAAGAAAATGCACTGGCAAGGAGGTGGCAAGTGAACAAGCTTCACAAAAATTTATTGCAAAAAACTGAGCTCACGAACAAAAACAAGTAATTTCGCGTTCTAAGTTAAAATCGGAATATTTTTGTCAAAATGGACTTCCACTCACAATTACTTGTACTGAATCGCTAGGATTAGATTATTTGGATTCGATAAGTTTATAAATGTCATTTTAAGTTTTGAGAAATTAAAATTTGCCATGATTTAAATGTTTCACCCAGAGACCACGCGTCTCTTTGACCACATTTCTCTAAGCTTAATTTTCCTCCAGCTGAATAAATTGACTATAGGACTACAGCCATAATCATTTTATTATAGTATCAAGCTATTTCAATTAAGGTTGTTCACGACTAAAGCGGAAAAGTCGAATACGAGCGCGAAAGGCTGCTGGGAATCGCTAACAAATTAATGAATTTTCAAAGCGATTCCCCAGCAGCCTTTCGCGCTCGTATTCGACTTTTTCGACTTTTACAAAGTGCGAAATCGCTTGATCAGTTTATCTTTAATTGCAGATGTAGCTACTGGAAATTTAGGCAGGCCTAGTATTCTATATTCTGAAACTTTTTCTTGTTTGATCAGTGCAAGAAAATGTATTTACTTATCATGCCCATAAGTTATGCTCTAATGATAATATAAATTGATCTTCAACAGCGGCTTTAGGAAGATTCGTGCACTTGCTTTAATTTTTAATTGCAATTTGTATAGGAATATTACTTGGCCAAATAGTCATTTTAAAATTGCATACTATAGGAGAATATACACAAGGTCATTCAGGTCAATGAAAATGTGTAAATTGCCAAAAGTAGACTGTAATTTTCAAGTAGGTATTTCATAAGAATTTTACAGTTCATAGCATGGAATTTTGCTTCATAAGAACAACATAGCCTATCATAGCCTATATTACTATACCACAAAAATATTTTCCCTCTGAATTGTTTATACTGTATATTTCATAAAACAAGCCTAGAAATCTTGAAAAGCAACTTCAATAGTAGTAAAAGGTATTCATCAAAATACAAAATAGTATATATACAGACAAACGTAACAGTATACAAGTGGAATTACAATCAAAATATGAAATTTTACTACAAAATAGATCATAAAGAATTAGAAACAACGATGAAAAAAGGAAAAATTGTTTGTTATTGCATCTTCTTGTTATGCCTATGGCTATATAGTGAATTTATTCAGATAGAGCAAATGTGAGCTTATACAAATATGGTCAAAGAGACACTCGGTCTCTGGATGAAAACGTCGATTTCGATAATAAAGAAAGAGAGCTAGGTTGTCGAATTCACAAGGCTTAAAATGGCATTCATAAACTTATCGAACCCAAATAACCTAGAGATTCAGTCCAATCAACTCTCAGAGAAAGTAAATTTTGACCAAAAATTTCAGATCTTTATTTAAAACGAGAAGTTACCTGTCTTTCTTCGTGAGGTCTGTTTTTCGCACGAAATTGTTTGTTTGCGAAACGTTTTCGCATGTCATGAATTTTCTTCTTCATTAATACACGTAACGTAAATGAAATTGCATGTACATGTGGATCAGAGGTCTCTTGTTGTTTTCCTGTGAATTATATTTATTGATGGATGCAAAAAGTTGTTAAAAATCCGCCATTCATTTTCAAAATAAAATCGCTCGCTATTATAGCCGCCATGTCGTTCGATTGCAAAGTGACTACTAATACAGTCGTGCATATCGCGATCCAAAATAAAGCAAGTTTCCCATTTCAGAGACATGAAACTACCTCTCAACGTTCGGAGGAAAAAGTCACAGTTCTTACATTTCACTGGAGCAATGAGAAGGCTTTGGCATTCGACATCCACATCCCACGTGACTGATTATGTTATACGGTGATAAGTGCTTGTATGGTTCTTCGCCTGAAAATTAAATATACCTAACTGTTATATTGTTTTTACCAGTTGAGCATCTAAATATTTGTCTTAGATTCTTCATTTCTTATACCAAAATTAAGCGAACTTGTTTTTGTTGGTGGGAAAGGTCGATCACGATTATTAGCGGTGAAAAGAAATAAACTTTGTGTTTTCTAAAAATTATAAGCAGTGCTGTAAAAGTTACTCATTTTTTGGAACTAGTTACAGTTACAGTTACATTCCCAAAAAAGGAACTAGTTACTGGTAAAAGTTACACTTAAAAAAATGTAACTAGTTGCCGTTACAAAATTACTTCAATATTTTTGTAACTATAGTTACAAGTTACTTAGAAATTTTTGTAACTTTATCAAGTAAGAAAAAACCCAGTTTTTTCAACTTAATGATTAGTGGTCAGCAGATTGACGTTAATTATTTGTAAACGTTATGTAACCTTACCACTAATGGATCTCTCAGCTGTGTTAAGCACTGAAGCATGCGTTGTCCTAGAAAACCGAGAGGAGAATTTCGAGAACTGAGAGGTGAATTGTAAGTTTTAAAGCTAATTTATATATATTATAAATTTAAGTTAATGGGCAATGCTGTCCACAAATTTAGTCTAATTTATATGACAATCGATTTGAATATTTTGCGTGCGGTACAAAGGTCACAGACCCGCAGCTGTCATTTGTATCAAAGGTCATCTTTGTATTGGCAAAGCGTACACGTGCACATCTCATGACCAATTATCTTTCAGCCAATCGAAATATATCTTTGATGGCATCAAAACATGTAACCAATCATAATTCGGTTAAGCCGGTAAAATAGACCAAATACACCTGAAAGAGATCACTTGTTTCAAAGTCTTAACAAAGTAATGTTCCAAAGCTACTGTAACATTTTCAGATAAACCGCGGGCGAAATGAAAATTTAACTACCTCGGATGATCAAGAATTGCGCGGGGCATCGCAAGAATTAAATAACACGATTTAACACTACAAAGATGGATTTGATGTTGGAATCGATATTACGATATATGTAGCGTAGGTTAAAGTGGTTAAAGTGAGACGTTATGAACTTATGGCAAACAGTATTCAACGGCGCAAGCACGTGTATTTTATATTTTTCTCATTGACAATGGTCAAAGGAATATGTTGCCAGATTCGTTCAAGTAGTGACAATTCGACGTTTAGCAGTAACAGAAACAGAAGCTGGCGCTGGGGAATTATAAAAGAACGAGTCGCCAAGCGCACTACAGCTGGTCCGTATGCAATATCATATCATGTTTGCGCGCTTGTCAATTACGGGTATCGTAAGTAAAAGTTTGCTTCAGATTTCGTTTAAAACCAAGCAAAAAATTGTAAAATTCGATCTGGTATAAAATTCTGGCATAGGCTAACATTTGCCAGAACGATATATTTTCTGTTTGTAATCCAATAGAGTTATATTTCACTGTGAATTTGATCTTCGAATCGACTCAAAGTTCAAAGTTTAAGCGCAATCAATTTTAGAGTACTCATGGTATATTTGGGAATGCGTTTTCATCCTAACCTAATTTTATAATTCCTTTTGTTAAAATCCAGTAGTGGTTTGAACTACATAACGTATAACTGAGCAAAGGCTTAGAAAGAGAGCCCATATATGCAAGAAATAGTAATTATAAATTTCCACGCTGTGTAGATGGATGATTTGGGAGCATTTTAATTTAAAATAATAACTCGAAAGTCAGTTTTTACACACATTTGCCATTTGGCACTATATATCATATATTATGTTTGTTTACCTATAATATACTATTACTGTATAATCTAGCTATAATTCTGTTTCAACTGAGTTTGAACTTAATTTCCACCCAACCTCGTACCCAGAGTTTGGTCAACCTTTGACGCCTTTGTGCTTTTCAATGGAACAAGACGCCTGCTCAGGCGTTCACACTTCCCTCAAAATAACGACAGTGTGATGCCTGGAATATGAGAGCAGTCACATCAGCAATATTGCTCTTTCTCGAGGGCAAAAATTTAGCTATTGCTACCAATACAATTTAGACCAGCTATGAAACGGCGACAGCGATAGGCTACATGGCATCTCCAGTGCTGTAATATCATAATTATATAGCGCTACTATCTATGTATATACGTTATAGTATACTTTAATAATTCAATGTTGTTTTGCGTTGCGGTTGAATTTTCTTTTCTTAAAGAAAGTACAGTAGAGATAGTTGTATATATTGACGATGTACTGTACTCTAAAAATCACGATGCCGATATATAAAATCAGTCAATACTCAATAGACACAATACTCAATATTCATGAACAATGTCATGTGTGTTTTACTATGTCTATAGTTTATATAGACTGTAAAAGCTTGGATATGTTTATAATGAAAGGTAAAATAAGACCACTGACTGGCACTGTGTATATATATTTTATTTATCAGTATATAGATTTATCAGTATCAGACCAAATACACCTGAAAGAGATCACTTGTTTCAAAGTCTTAACAAAGTAATGTTCCAAAGCTACTGTAACATTTTCCCACCCACCCACCACTTCTCCTAAGGGATTACAGAAAACACCTATAGTGAACACTATCATGGAAGAACATTATTGGAGATCACTATTACTGGAAATCGCTGCCAAAGGAGAACACTATTATTGGAAATAACACCATCACTGGAGTACACTGTCACGGGCATGATGTATTATATCATATTATATATATAAATATATATTGATAAAAAACAGTAGAGCATTAATAATTGTTGTTATCAATTATTGAAGTTATTGCAATAAAATATTTAATGGTTTGGGGTTGAAGTGCTCCCAAAGGTCACCTTCATGCCCATAGACTCATTCAATGTAAATATAATCGGCCGAGTTATAGGAACTGTCCAAGGGACCCTTACCCCTTGGTTCAGGTTAATAAGGTCAGAGGGGGTCGCTACCCTTCTGGCATGTGCTTTGGGGACCCTTACCCCCAGAGCAGCTCTGGGGACCCTTACCCCCAGGGCAGCCCTAGGGACCATTAGGGACCCCTAGGGTTATCAGAGCTGGCCTTATATATACCCCGCAGGATGAAATATAAGGCCATAAAGAGTCTATTGGGTTAAACATACATATAATGTGACACTTATTGTAACAGGAGTACTTCACCCCCATAACCCATTCTCCCACACAAAAGCTGTATGTGTCTATTCTTAATTCTTAGCTCAGTTAGCTGGCAGGAGAGCAATTGTTCCATTAACCGCAACAATGTAACGAAAAAAGTAACGTCAACGTTGGCTATTTTTAAAGTAACGCGTTATCGTTTCATTTAAGGTCAAAATGTAACTCGTTACAGTTACAGTTTATTACACCTTATTTTTAATAGAAACTATTTACCGTTACAGTTACTTAAAAAGTAAAAAGTAAAAAGTAACGATTACATGTAATTTCGTTACTTGTAACGAACTTACTTACAGCACTGATTATAAATGCAATGAAACAGCATGTACAGTAAACCATTTAGACTGTAAAATGTTTGATCACTGGTGACTGAACTATACTGTCAGTAACAAGTGTAAAATAATCAAAATGACAAACTTACTTTAAAAGATTTGCTAAATTCTTGGCAACAGCATATATTATGAATGGAGAAAGAGCATAAAATTACTAATAATATATTATGAATGGAGAAAGAGCAAAAAAAGATCTGTATGAAGTACTACAGAATCCTCAACAAGGTAAGTAATGAGGGCGCGTATGACGTAATAGTATAATTAGTAATAAAGTAATATACTGTATAGCTTTGAGATGCATTTCTAAACTGCGACCGGAAATCTCCGAGTGGATAGGCTACTCTTGGTAAACATGGAACGACCACGTGACCGGTGTTTCACCCCTTCTATTATTAATTATATATTTTTAAAGATACTATTGCCTCATACGCGCCCGCAGTATACTTACCTTTTGAGCATTATATAGCACATTATATAGATAATATTTTTTGCTCTTTCTCTGTTGACAGTCTGGCGAAAAATTTATGCAAATCCTACGACCTTTGTAATACTAGCCCAATGCTCTTCCAACTGAGCTACGCGGTCAGGACGGTTCGAGTAAGTGATATTTCGGAACAGAATCTAGTTCCTTCGATACCAATGTAATCTAGTAATATGATTTTTTCTGTGTTGGTGTTGTGTACTCAAGTGAATATGATATATGTGATGTTACTTTAAGTGTATATCCACACCGGGCGAGCTTGAAAAATATGCCCGGCCACGGTGGGATTCGAACCTACGACCTTTGGAATGCTAGCCCAATATGCCCTGCCAACAGAGCTACGCGGTCAGGACGGTTCGAGTAAGCGATATTTCGGAACAGAATCTAGTTCCTTCGATACCAATGTAATCTAGTAATATGATTTTTTCTGTGTTGGTGTTGTGTACTCAGGTGAATATGATATTTGTGATATTATTCTGAGTGTATATCCACACCGGGCGAGCTTGAAAAATATGCCCGGCTACAGTGGGATTCGAACCTACGACCTTTGGAATACTAGCCCAAAGGTGGTAGGTTCGAATCCCACTGTGGCCGGGCATATTGTTCAAGCTCGCCCGGTGTGGATATACACTCAGAGTAATATCACAAATATCATATTCACCTGAGTACACAACACCAACACAGAAAAAATCATATTACTAGATTACATTGGAATCGAAGGAACTAGATTCTGTTCCGAAATATCACTTACTCGAACCGTCCCGACCGCGTAGCTCAGTTGGGAGAGCATTGGGCTAGTATTCCAATGGTCGTAGGTTCGAATCCTACCGTGGCCAGGCATATTTTTCAAGCTCGCCCGGTGTGGATATACACTCAGAGTAACATCACAAATATCTTTTAAAGTAAGTTTATTATTTCTATTATTATTATTATCATTATTATTATTTCCATTATTATTTCTATTATATATTAGTAAGTTTATAGTAGTATAGGGAAGAGGGTTCTGGCGCGGGTGGATCGGGTGGATCCACCAATGACGTCATCACAATATAATTTCATATCAATTACGTGCGCTTATAATGTCATTAAAACGATAATAACCACAATTGCATTCTGTTTTAACAAAACTTTAACCATTTACTATTTTACTAATGCATCTTTGCGGGAATTCTTTTTGTCCCAGGTGTCTCGAAACACGATAACTCCTTTAGTTCTTATTCCCATATGTTCAGTATTTTATTCATTAACGTGGTATTTCAAAATTAATCGAATAATAGTTGAAAACAGAACAACTCAGTTTTAATCAGAATTTTGAGGGGAGAGAATAATAAACTTTGATTTTTTTATATAATAACAGTTGTTAAAAATGGCCCGAAGGGCCTTTTTTATGGCCCGATGGCCCGATTCTCTCTAAGTACGTCCCCTATACTCAGGAGTCCAACTCACCCAATTATAACTACCTCCCTCAACCGTAAACTGTTCACATCACAGCTCAGAAGTAGAGCGTATATAAACAGGTGTATTTAAATTCATCATTTTACAAGGTTTTATTAGATTATCTTAGAGAGTCGACCCACTACTTTAACACCATCCTTATTCAGTTTTCCACCTATGTTACTTATTTCTTAATTTTATAATGTCCATGAGACAATGTGTTAACACCATCTTCTAAAATATAACGTTTATCATCATATGGACTTAAAGCAATCTTGTTTAATTTGATGGAGTAGATCTCATGACCGTGACTTCGAATCTGATTCATTGACGCTTTTGTGTGCTTCTTATTGAATAAGCATGTTTTATAATTATCATGTCTTATCTTCTTCTTTGTCACCGACTTCTTTATCCCTTTAGCTGTCTTCTTCTCCACCAGCTTACTGTTCTCGGTGTATAGGATGGAGTACATCTTTGGCCTTAAACCAACAAATTCTTGAATTGGAATTCCATGCGTCTCATCTTTCATCTTACCGAGAACTTTCTTATTTCGTGTACTATACAAAAGATGGTCTTGTGCGTATTCGGATGTATCGAATAGCTCTGCGTCTTCCAATATGTCTTGGTAGATGTCACGGGTCTTCACTTTATAACATAGACTGTCCGTATTCGTGAAAAGCAACATAGCGTTAGCACCATACTTCTGTTTCATATATTCGTAATGAAATTGGTACATCAACACCTTTGAGAGATCTAGAATTGTAAATCCCACATAAATTGGACGATTTAAGTATAGCTTTGTCTTCTTCATATTCACAGCAGCGAGATCCTCAGAGAAAATGCGGAAAGAGTCAAACGATGGACGGGCAATTAGTTTTGTTGCTTTGTCTTATCATTGACCAACTTGACATTTACTCGCTTTCTCAGATTCTCCATGGTCGTTCCAAACACCGCATTATTCATCAGCTTGTAGAAATCTTTCTCAAAGTCATTCGCGGCGTGCTTTCTTCTTTCTGTGTTGAAATCTATGTACGCTTTGAGCCATGGACTTTGTTGAAACGCCAAGACTCTGTGAATTTCTGTCAGCTCCATTTCCAGCTTGAGATATAACTTCAGATTACGGTAGTGTACAATATACTTGGTCTTATCGTTGAGGTTGGGTACTAGTTTGGGGACTGCAGCACTCCCGAGCTTTAAATCTTCTGAGAGCTGTTTGCAATAGGGTGATAGCATTTCAGGACAAATCTTCATCTTTTCAGGAGCCAACGGATAGTCGTTATGTAGATCATGTAACTCCTTGGGATACTTTAAATCGACTTCGAGAATATAACCTTCTTCAGAGTCATCGGGAATTTGCGTGATGTCAAGGTTGGAGATGTTTTCTTCATTTAACCAATGGAATTCACCAGTTGGTAGAGGTTGTGACATAGCCCAGCCATAAAGATTATTAGCGTCGAGATACATCACGTAAGATGAGTCTTGATCAGGGTTATAGTCGGGGATGTACGGATTGTTCGCTTTACTGAAACGGTTACTTATCATGGATATACCACCACGAAGCCCTTCTTCGATGAATAAATACATATCTGGATCAGTCAATAGCTCTAGTTCCACCTCTGTCATTTTCAGACAAGCTTGCCACGCCAACCCAGGACTTGTGTAAAAGTGACAAGGATCTAGATTGTATGCTTTTAAACAGACGTTTCGGAAGTTTTCAAATAGATCAGCAAGGAGCAGAACGTCAGATTTTAAGTACAAATCATGATAGTCTCCCATACTTTGGCAGTTAGAAGCCTCAAAGACGCGAGTAGCGTGGTCGTAGTCAGCATCGGAAACGTGTTCATCGTTTAGAATACTGTAGAAGCATTCTTGAGGAGGCAGAGTTTCTTTATTGAACTTTTTCACACTATCCATGTAGTCATACGGGTACACGCCTTTCCTCAGCAACAAGGGCACTTTCTCAGATTCAACATATCTCTGGAGGATGGGAAACATATCCCCACCATTCTTGGATAAGTTTGAGACAAGGCGTTCGAGAGAAACGTTCATAAACTGAAGTGAGTCAATAAAATCTAGTTTATTGATGGAGAAGGAAATATACTTTTCAGTATTATTGGGGATGCAGTTGATCTCCTTATTCTTTAGCTTTCCAAGTCCTTGCATAATCAGGTGGGAGTCATAACCACGAAGATTGTGAAGGATGACAGGAATGCGTCCACTAAAACTATAGTTTAAGTTACATTCGTTGTGTGCGGCTCCACGATACTTTCCTGTGAGATGGAAATGATCGCGAACCCGGTCGGCGCCCAATTCGAAACCACAGATATGACAGTTAATGGTGTTTTGAAACATCTGTTCTTCCTCCTTCTCGATGCGCATCGGCTCGACGAAACTAAGTTTCTCTTCGATGTATTGCTGTTCTATCTCTAGCTAAACACTCGAGAAACTTATCCACAGCATCCTCACCACGGTAAACGACAGGAGGTTTGTTATATTTTTTCTGCCTCTGACACGACAACATACGAAAATCCACAAGGTTGGTGGTGTTGGTATTTCTCGGTAGATGATTTAGTTGGATTTGGGGAAACTGAGTCAATCTTGGCTGTAACGCTTTCAAAATCAGCATAAATAACAAATGGTACCTTGAGCTGTTTGTGGTAATCTTTGAAATAGAGTGAAGCATTATCTTCATTCGGTAATTCAATTCGCTGGGCTCCATGTTGACAACAGTGAGGCTCATGCTCTTGTAGAAGGTCTTCTCGGATAAATCCATGCAGACAGTAACGGCAGTAATACATTCGACATTTACGACCATTTTGATCATAGTGTAATTTATTGAGGTCTTTAATAAGGCAGTAATGTCTAGTTGTTCCCTCAGAGTATAGTAACAAGTTCACATGGATTTCAAAATGTTCCTTTGTGATATAAATGGGAAAAAGCACATCTTCGAAACCAAACACATTCACTGAAATGTTATTTTGACGTTCAAATTTTCCAATCTTATCAATTGTGACAGGGAATTCAATATCATCAAAGTTAAGTCCATCCTTGAACTGCTGATAATAATGTAGTCTCTCTGCGTCCCGTTGTGCTGGGTGAATACCAGCGAGAATTGACCACATAAAACATTTATTATCCGTGTTCTTGACGTTAATAATGGCTTTCTTAGTCTTCAACTTTCTCGGTAGAGGAATATAACTGGAACCTTTGAGTGGGGTGTATTTCGCCATGTTGAGGTCTAAATGAAGTATTTCATCCAGGATCCAACCACTTCCTTCTTTTTGGTATATCGCCAATGAATCCAGAATTTTACTGCAAGCTTCGTGTAGTTGTTTCTCCATATCGTGAACATTAACCGTTGTAGTACACAGACTGCGGAAATGCGGTTCACTGTATAGATCTTCACCGCCCACTTTGGGTTTGACAAATCTCGCTTTCACACTGATGAACCATTTCAATCCTTTCTTCATTTCCAGCTCTTTCGATAGATGAATAAGAATCGGCTTGGATTTACCACCCAGAAATTGGGACATATCATGGTTTTGATCCTTTCGCTGTTTCGGTTCTTCAGGTTTTCCTCGAAAGCAGATGTAAGATTACACGGATCGTCATCTTCATGCCCAATTTGATCGGAGGAGTGAGCTGTCTCGTCGACTTTGTTCCGTTTAGCCTTAGAAGCAGTCAACTACATCAGATTTCCACTTCAAGGTGTTCCCGTCATATACCACTCTATGGTTGACCAACTTATTACGACGATAGAACTCTTTCAGGCACTTATCGCATCTGTGGGTAACCAACTTCCGATGTTGCTGACCATGACGAATGAGGGCATCCATTCTTGTAAACGACTTATCGCACTCCTGACACTTGAATGTCTTACCCAGATGTGTTGTTTTCATATGACGAGTTAAGTTCGTCATTTGGGTAAAACTCTTCGTACATTTACTACAGACGTATGCCATTCTAGAAAGATAAACACAAGTCTTTGAACTGCAATATTTTGAACTGAGTCTAAATTAAATGCAGTATTTTTCAATCAATTCTCAGTATATATCCCACAGGCATTACAGCGTTTGTAGAGTTTGGCATAGGGAATGATGTAATACGCATGCGAAGTATTTTATATAAATCATTTAAAGTCACACTAGGCTTTAAAACATCAGAGTTATTCAAAAATTGTCATTACCTTTCCAACCCGTGAAGAAATCTCCCCGTTTGCAGTTGGCTAAGACTCAGACCATCTATTTTACAAGATGTTTATCTTTATCAAAAGGTTTAGACAAGCACAGTTTCGAATAGAACTCACCTCGTTACTTTACAGCTTTACAGTAAAACTTCTGTTCTCTAACCAACGCTTTATATTCCTAAACCTATTTCTGGACAGAAATAAGAAAAATTCGCAATCATTTCTCAGTATAAACAAACTACGACGTTTCTCTTATAATTAATAAAAAATGTCATGACCTTTCCAACTCGTGAAGAAAGCTTCCCATTGAGTTGGTTAAGACTCGGACAGTCCTTCTTACGACAGACGTTTATCCTTATCAAAAGGTTTAGATTTTAAAGCACAGTTTCAAATACAACTTACCCCTCGAATTCACAGTTCACAGCTCTAGGAAAACGTCTATTTCGTTTTATACCGCCGACTTTATATTTGCAACCAGTTTCACACTCTGAGTTTCACAATAGAAATTCAAAATTTTTAAAATCATTTCTCAGCTTATACGCACCAAACGTCGTTGTTTCGCTTGTGGGACGTGGATAATGATTTTGTACGCATGCGCAGTAATGCAATTTATTTAAATAAAGAGCCGAATTAAAACTATTAAAATTCTAACAAATTAGAAATTACAAAAGAAGGAAAGCAGATTTCAAAAATACGAGAATGTATACATTTCCAAGACAAAACATGGAAACAAGTCTTGTAATCATTGACACTTGCATGGCTGCAGACATAATTTTACATAAATTTACAAATGGATTAACGTTTTAAACAATTTATTCATCTCAGAGAAATAATTTTACACAAACATAAAACAGTGTTAACATATTGTTCGGCTTTTACACTGTTGACACTGTTTTCTAGCTTCGATCGTTTTGACTTTGTGGCTTCCACTAGTAAGAAATTACTTTTTGTCTGGCAAAGTTGGCAAGCTTGCCTTGTCGTTCTACAGTAACATCAGCAATACCAACAATACCTTTAACTTTTCTCGTTTATTACTCGCTGGCAATAGAAGCGTTTTTTTGTCCACGCACTCAAATTAAAATGTTAACCACTTAATATATTCTTTCTCGTTTCCCGCAATTTAGAAGTTTTTCATACCACAGCCAAACACAGGACAGTTCCTACATACTTAGTTGTTTGCTCAGCGAATTCACGACAATAAATGGCTCATGTTTGATGCTACATATTTTATTAGGCCCGGTTTGGTCTTATAAGGCACCAGTACAAGGCACGATGGCCCGATTACTGACTAGGCGTCCAAGCTTTGGCTTGTCACTCTACGCTTTGAATATTGTACATGTGATATCACTAAAAAAAAGTGATTTGCTTGCAAAAATACGTTATATAAAGCACCACCCATCACAGATCTTTTTCTCATTCTCTGTCAGAATGTTATATCTCTTAAAACCGTGATCTTTACTTGGCAACATGCAAGCTCTGGGGTTTTTTCCTCCCCGTGCTAATCTTGGTCAATTCCAATTGAAACTAGAGCAAAGTAGTCTTGGAGAAGATTGCAAAGGAGAATTCTCCTACAGTCAATCTACGTGAAACGTTCCTCTTTTGAGTTTCTACTTCATTTGAAATTTTCCTAATGGAATTCGCAAATTTGAAATGGGATTTTCGAACACATTCACTGTCTACTATTCATAGCGTGCTCCCAAGGAGTCTTTTCAATTACTTCCAAATCTAAGGGTATGCCAAATGATGACATTCCTCGAACTACATCGCCTATAAAAATGTCCCGTGCGGGAATTTTTTTGTCCCGGAAGTCCCGGAAAAGCTCAAAGTGTCCCTGCGAGACATTTTGTTCCGTGGGGGACTTCCGGGACAAAAAAAGTCTGTGTACTACAACGGTTAATGTTCACGATATGGAGAAACAACTACACAAATTAAGCTTGCAGTAAAATTCTGGATTCATTGGCGATATACCAAAAAGAAGGAAGTGGTTGGATCCTGGATGAAATACTTCATTTAGACCTCAACATGGCGAAATACACCCCACTCAAAGGTTCCAGTTATATTCCTCTACCGAGAAAGTTGAAGACTAAGAAAGCCATTATTAACGTCAAGAACACGGATAATAAATGTTTTATGTGGTCAATTCTTGCTGGTATTCACCCAGCACAATGGGACGCAGAGAGACTACATTATTATCAGCAGTTCAAGGATGGACTTAACTTTGATGATATTGAATTCCCTGTCACAATTGATAAGATTGGAAAATTTGAACGTCAAAATAACATTTCAGTGAATGCGTTTGGTTTCGAAGATGTGCTCTTTCCTATTTATATCACAAAGGAACATTTTG